AAATGTGGTTTAAGGAGATATGTATTGATGTCAGGTTGACTGGATATGATCTGTGAGGATCAGTTTTGTTTTGTGTGTGAGGATCAGTTTTATGTGTTAAATTGGCTAGGCTCTAGTACCTAGATATTCAAACACTAATCCAGATGTTGCTGTGAAGATATTTTGTAGATGTTGTAACATCTACAATCAGTTAACTTTATGTAAAAAAAAAATTTCCTGGATAATATGGGAGGACCTTATCCAACCAGTTGAAAGGCCTAGAGGTTTCCCTGAAGAAATTCTACTCCTGCCCAAGTGTTTTCAGCTTGATCTTCCTTATGGCCTGCACTACAGATTCCAGACTTGCCAACCTGATCCCTACCAGTGCAAAAGCCAATTCCTTGCAATAAATACAGATTAATAGATAAGATGATTGATTGATAGATAGGAGAGAGAATAGATATCCACAGATTGGTCTATCTCCTCTGTGGTGGACACACAAACTACCGAAGAAAATCTTGCATCCCTTGATGCAAGGCATGTCCCCTAAAATTCCTGGGGAAATCCCAGGAGTTGAAACGATTATTCTAATGGAGGAGTCTATTGGACAGGTCAGGGCAACACTCCTAGTGTTCCTTCAGGGCATGCCTTCAGATATGTTAAGTCCTTTCATATTTATTAAACTATCTGTAACACGTCGGAATGCTACACAGTCACTTAAAAATATGTTGTTTATCAACTGTCTCTGAAAGGGGATACAAAACCTCACACGAGTAATTGCTTCTAAGGAGGGAGCCCAGTGGCTTGGGAATAGGAATGTAAGGGAGAATTTTCACTTTTTGTACTTTAGGAATGTTGAATTATGTGAATCTATCATCAAAGCTAGGGATTGGCAAACTGCAATCCACAAGCCAAACCTAACCCACTGCCTGTTTATAGTTTTGCTGGAACGCCTTCATGCCCATTAGTTATATACTGGCTATGGCTGCTTTCATTCTGCAATGGCAGAGTCCAGTCATTGAAACAACTACATACACTACATACATTTCATCATATGGCCCACAAAGCCTAAAATATTTACTATCTGACCCTTTACGGGAATTTGCTGACATCAATTTAGATTTTCTAAAAATAGAAAAGTAAACTGACATTAAAAAATTAAAAGATGCCCCAAAAGAACTGAAAACATCTGTCCACACAAAAACTTAAATGTCAATGTTCATAGCAGCGCTAGTCACAATAGGCAAAAAGTGGAACCAACCCAAAAGTCACTCGACAAATGAATACATTAAACAAAAGATGATGGAACATTGCTTGGCCAGAAAAAGGAATGAAATGTTGATAAATATTACAACACAGATGAACCCTGAAAACATTATGCTAAGTGAAAGAAGCCAGACACAAAAGGCCACCTTTCATTTATGTGATATAATTATGATTTCATTTATGTGATATGTACAGACAAGGCAAATTCACAGTGACAGAAAATACATTAGGGGTTTACAGGGGTTGTGGAGGAAGGAAGAACAAAGAATGGCTGCAACTGGGTTTCTTTGAGGAGTGATGAAAACGTTCTGGAATTAGATAATGGTGATAGTTGTATAACTCTTTGAATATATTAAAAACCACTGAATTGTATACCATCACCACGTAGAAGGCATTTCACAGTAGGGGAAAGTTATACATCCCAATTATTCCAAACATCCATGAGATCTTAGGTAAGTTTCTTTCCCTGTCTGGTCCTTAATTTCCTTCTCTATAATACAGATGCAATAGGACAACGTGGGAAAAGGCCAGTAGAATGAGATGTGAGGGGAGATTTGGGGGGCCTGACTTCCCAGAATCCTTTGTTCTTTCCCCAAGATTCATAATCACTGACTCTAAAAACCACTATTTTCAACATCATCATGTTCCAATTTCAAAGCACTTTCACATACATGTCAGTTGATATTCATAACCACCCTTTAGGGAAAATAGGTATTATCCCCATCTTAAAGATGAAGAAATTGAACTTCAGAGTCGAATGACTTGCGAAAGTTCATACAGTGGTTAAATGCAGGAGGTGGGACTCAGTCCTAGGTTCTGTCCACACCACACTGGCCTCTCTAAAGGCCTAGACAGCAGTGTCCAGCAGTCTCATTACAAACTATACATCGCTTGGATAAAGCAAGGGAGGAGAGACACAAGGACTTGGGCCCTCCTTGGCCTTTTCCTAGGAACCTCTCTATATCGGCACGGCAGCCGTCGGTGCATGAGTATACACGTACACTGTGTGGACACCAAGCCCATGGTGTCACAAAGATGTACATAAAGGCACACAGGACCTGCTCAACAGGTGACAGGTCACTCCTCGTTACCAGAATGGTGGCAAAGCTGTACCTTTAGTTCAGGGGAGGCCTGAGAGTTCAGAACTCTGGGGGTCTGCTCTCTCCTAAATCTACAAGACTCATTAACCCTTTTCATGAAATTTCTAGAAGGGACAGCTCCTCAGTGCTTAGCAGACAAAAGAAATGAGACAGGAGGGCCTGGGAATTATCCTCATTGCCCTTGCTGAAGTAGAGACTAGGAAAGGGAATAATAGTGAAAAAGGGCATTCAGTCCTAAGATCAGAGAACTGGACCTAAATCTCAAGGAGGGAGACGACTGCTGTCAAACCCAGGTCAGCCCTTGTTAAGTCAGCGTCTGAGCACCAGTAACACCACCAGCTGTGTGTGCTTCAGCAGGTCACTCACCCTCCCTGATTCAGTTTGCTTATCCAAAAATGTGGCTAATGACTCCTGGGGTCTAGCTCAGAGGGGATTTCAGTGGCATAAACTGAAATGCTTTAAAAATAAAATGTACTTTATGAACACTCTTTCATTCTCCCACAGCTGCCAAGGAAGAATGGCTGAACACACTTGGGGAGTAACCCATTGACGGCTTTCCAGGGCTTGCCAGCAAGGGGGAGTCAAACCAAAGGCTAAAGTCTCTTCAGGAAAAGCCAGGTTGCCCATGTTTGCTTGCACTTTTTTTTCATTTTACCAATAACATTTATCAAGTATTACCTACAGCATAGATGTTGTTCTGGGAGCTTGAACATAAAGCAGTGAAAAAGAAGAAATGGTTCTGCTCTCAAAAAGCTTATTTTCTACTTGTGAAAGATTAATAAATTAATGAATGTCAAACACTGGCAGGTGCTGTGAATTTAACTGGGTAAGGTTAACAGTGAGCGGGGAGTGGTACTGTTCCTATAGGATGTCAGCAGGCCCCTCTGATAAGAGGGTGTTTGAACAAAGACCTGAAGGAAGGGGATACTTTGGGAAACAGCCACAACAGCTTAGACAGTTCTCTAGGTCTAAGCTAGAGACCACTTGAGTTCTGGGGAGAGGTAAGACACATTGTCAAGGGAAACAGAATTTTCTACCATGCTGGTTCAGTTTGCCCTTCTTGGATTCATTCTCTACTCTTCTTCCTGCTATGCTCCCTGGGGAGAGGGGGGGCTGACCCCTAGACTGGATCTCTGGGTCATCCTTGCCATCTGCTGCCTTTCTGTTAGGTTCAGCCAAAAGGAGGCCCCAGAAAATTGGAGTACAGGATGAAAGAAACGGGATACTGATGCTCCAGCTTTCTCGGCCTGGCCACAGTTCTGACAGTGGCTGCATCCCTCTGCCACAGCTCCCATCAGCTTTCCACAGCCCTTTTGTAGTCCATCCTCCCATGCGACCCTCCTGGGTCCCAGTGGGTAGGGGCTCATCAGGCGTATTGCCGGATTAACCTAGGTGAGCACCAACTACCTACCTGTGCCCGAGTGCGTTGTACATAGTTGCCACCTAGACTGCCCCTCCCATCAGGATGAGGGATTTGACCCGAGGCACCCATCATAGATAAATTGTGGACCGCGGCCTCAGTCTCCTCCCTCAAACTCCAATTCTGTTGAATTATTCAAAACCAGCAAAGGTAGGGACAGAAATTGAGGTTCTAGAGTCCCCCCTATTACTTCCTTAGGACCTCACTGCCCTGGGGGGTTTTCTCCCTAAGATCCAGCCCATAAACTTCCTATGTGAAGGAACTTGACCTACCTAACTCCCAACACCAACAGCTCATTGCCCAGTTCATTTCCTTGATAGTATTTATCACTACTTCCCTGTAGCTCAAATGGTGAAGAATCTGCCTGCAACGCAGGAGACCCAGGTTCAATCCCTGAGTCGGAAAGATCCTCTGGAGAAGGGAATACCCATTCCAGTATTCTTGCCTGGAGAATCTCATGGTTAGAGGACCCTGGCAAGCTACAGTCCAGGGGTCGCAAAGTCAGACACAACTGAGTGACTAACTCTACTATTATCCATCACTACCGGCTTTTCATTGCATATGTCAGCTCTGTCCACTAGAATGTACATGTCACAAAAGACAAGAACTTCCCTGTTTTATTCTTTGTGAACAGCATCTTAGGCTCAAGTATAAAACTCAAATGTTTCTCAGTAAATGAGAACAGAAATGAGTATAAAGCATCTCTGCTCCCTAGCACCCTCCACAAGGATTATAGCCGTAAGCCTAGACAAATGGCTTAGGGTCACCGGCCTGGGCAGCTACTCTCAGAAGCATCTCAGTACTGCTGGCTTCTCCAGGTGTATGTGGGCAGGAGCCCCAAGCTAGACAAGCAGATAACCCAGGAGGCAGAGAACCACTCAGGTTCCATCTTGCTAAAGGCCCTCAGCTTCTCCATTCCTGAATGGCTAGAGGAGGATTTAGCTAAGAGACATGGTCTTCCAGTCTCAGCATCTATCATACAGAAGAATCAAAATGCAGCTCACTAAACCATCTCCACCAATGACCCAAGAAATCTTGTGGGTGAGTGCTGCTGGTTATTTTCCTTCACTTAAGGGCCCGAAGCCTTGGCCCTCCAACTAAGACCGGATTCAGACCAATCAGTATCTCTTTAGCCCCATTCTACTCCACACTATATACCCACCCCACCCATGTGGCACCACTGCCACCAACCAAGCCATCCCCCCTTTACCCCCAAAGAAACCCAAACAGCTCAGAAGTGCATCAATTGACCTTTAATGTCCAAAAGAGGCGTGGATGCAGAGCACAGGAGATGTGGCGGGGTCTCAGCCCCTGCTCCAGAAATGAGGGAGAGATGAACACAAACTAGACATTTCCAACTGGCCACACAAGTCTGGGAGGGCAGGGGGAAACAGATCTAGACATTCATAAAAAAATAAAACCTAAAATCAAGCACTCAGCATTGTGCCCACCAAACGATTTGATATGGGGAACTCACTCACCATCCAAGTCCCCACCCTCCCCTGTCAGCATCAAAAAGAAAGCTCAGTACACACTAAAGGCTTGGGAAGGGGGCATTCTCCTGCCTCCCCACCAACCCCAAGGATGGACTTGGAAGAAAAAGAGAATGAGCTGGATCCCAAACCCCCCACAGCATCAACCCTACACATGAGTTTTCAATGCAATTTATAAGAATCAATAGCTCAATCAGCAATGACTTCCCCCCCCGCCCCATCCCCCACCCCATCCCTTTTGATCCACAGATAAGATTTCCCCAGCACTCCCCTTGGAATCTCCTACCACTAGTGACCCTGCTCCATCCCCAAATTCCTGGCTTCACCACTGCAAGACTGACCTCCTCTGAAGTTCCCCCAAAGCCCCTCAACAGCCCTTTATCACTTCCATCCTGCCTCCCAAAAGAGGCTGCCACATTTCACAAAGTCACTTTCCCTCACCACTGAGACTAGGCTCCAGAATAGATGGTAGCATAGCCACCTAATAATGGGCTATCCTCCTAAAGCCCTCCTGGGAGCAGATGGCCATAGGGCAAGCGGTGTCTAGGCCAGATGGCTGAGGGGGGTGATACCCATACTCACCCCCAAAACAGATGCCCCAGAGGTTAACATAGGTCCACTTATCTACCCATATACCGGAGAGATTCCACAGTCCTGCCCCTCCCTCCCCTCTACCCCAAACCAAAATACACACATACATTCACACACATATACACAGAGGCAAATCAAGGGAAACATTGATTTGGTTTGATTGCTAAGACCTAACTAAGAACTAGTCATCAGAAATTCCCTTGCCAGCCAACTAACAGGGGCTGCTCTAAGAGAACTCCAGAGGAATGAGAAAACCAAGGGCTAAGCAGGGAGCAGACAGAAGGAGGGAAGAATGAAAACAAAACAAACAAAATCCAGCTAATCCTACCCTCAACATCCTCCAAGCATGAGCTCTGGCAGGAAGAATAAAAGAAGGTAATCCACAAAGACACAGCCCTTACTTAGAAACTCTTCTGACAAAGACAGCAAGACAAGTCTGCTCCCCACTCCCACACACCACAGACAAACACGTCTCAGGGCCCCTTAAAGACTCCAGCCCCAACCCCTGCCCCAAGCCGTGGAATCACAGTTCAGTGGAATATTCTCCCTGGTACTAGATCAATCCCCCTACCCTCCATTCTATCCCTCTCTCCTTGTCAATCCTAACACTGTCCCTCCCACAGCCTCCCTGGCCCTCCTAAAGCAGCATCCACCACCAGGAAGAGGCAGCTGCAGTTTTAGTTCCACCTCCAGAAACCTATTTCTTTTCCCCAGCCCTCCTAGTCTTACAGGCCTTGTTGAGGGCTTTTTATTTGTATAGGGAGAGAAAGAGAAAAGGGAGGAGTGGGAGAGATTTCCTAGTGCAATACAACCAAAAAAAAAATTTAAGTCTTGAAAAATAAACATAAAGCAGCCTTCTTCCCCAGGCAACTAAACAGAAAGAAGTTTGGTTTTGTTTACTGCGACATACACATGAAATCGAGTATACAGTCCATGCAGTAGCACAGCCATTGGAGAGGACATCCTGATGCTGGCCCCAGTGCAAAACAGTCCCAGCAACGCTGCCTGCTTGCCATTGCTGCCGCCGCCACTGACACCTTCACTGTGGCCACCTAGCCTGACTTGAAGAGGAGGATTGCAACTTGACCCAAGTAAAAATAGATGAAGTGCTTTGTCTCATGTGTAACGTAGCTGCCAAAATTTCGGCCCACGATACAGTGCCAGGTAGGATTATATTTCTTGTCAAATTCCTAAAAGAAGAATAAAAAGAAGAAAGGTGATTAGGACAGCTGGAGGATGAGAAATCAGAATAAGAGTCTGATTGGTTTAGCTATCACCCGCACCCCACCCCCAGTCTATGGCCTCAGTTCTCTCAACTTCAGGAGCTCAGGTTCTAAGGTTGGCTAGGACACTCCTTCGTTAATAATATAATACCACAAAGGTTCCATTATTTCTCTCTAGAACTTTACACCCCTAACATCTCTTGTCTCTCTAGCTACAGTACTCAAAAGCCCACCCCGCGATTCTTCAGCAAGGGAACCAGAAAAACCAGCAGAATTAAGAATCACTCCAGTGATGTCACACAGCATTGAGTAAGAGAAGCATGTCTCCCTGACTTGCCACTCACATTTCACACTACTAAACTAGCATTTCCAAATGCCAAAAACCAAGACACTAGAGCAAAATGAGGACTGAACAGGGAGCAATTCTGTCTAAGCCAACTTTAAAGGCACTGCAGTGCGCCAGGCACTATGTGAGCTGTAAGCAAAGAACAAGGGCCTCAGTCATGAGAAGGAGGCAATTCCCTCACTTCTCTCAGGGATCTAAGTTCAACATCAAAAGCCAGCAAGGAAATCCTCAGGACCTAATCAGACAGGCCCTGCCACCCTGTGAACCCAGCAGAAAACAGATGGCTCGGTTCTAGATGCATCCTGCCATGACCGTGAAAGGAGACAACCCTCCACCACAGGCTCAGCAATGCTGCCAACCCTGGAGCTCTGTCTGCCAGGAGCTCAACCAACAACTTGTTTAGTTTTCTCACAGCCCCCATACCACATGACTCCAAAAGGTATTGGCAAACAGTGGAAAGGGCATGGATCACCACATAGATCTTTACTCCTAACTGAAGACTGTGTAACATAGGAGATCCATAGTTGCTTCTCCATAAGCAAAACAAGGAAGCAGGACTGGATATAATCTAAGGATTTTCCTGAGAGTCCCTGATTCTACACTTTCTCCCTGAAAAGAACAGAAAAAGCATCACTCAACAAGGAACCAGCACCCCTAGCAGCTTTGCTGGCTCTGCATCCCTTGGCTACACACACAGAAAAAGTCTCTCAGAACTCCAGTTTCCACTTCTCATACCACACACAGACAACAAAGAGCGCTGTAAAACCCAAGGACACTATACCACCTGTATGGACCATAATGCCATGGCTCTCAGGCATCCTTGGGATACTAGAGCTGACATTATCAGACTGGGACTATGCCACCAATGCACATGGACCCTGACTGGAAATTAGGGACCCTGAGTACCACCTCTCACCTCTAGCTCAGCAGCTTCCTCACTATATACATGTTAACTGTATCTATTCACCCATTCATTCAGGGATTAAATCTACTGCCCCAATAATGCTTATCTATTCAAAAAAAGAAAAAAAATATATATATATATATCTCTGCTAAGTCACTTCAGTCGTGTCCAACTCTTAGCGACCCCATGGACTGCAGCCTACCAGGCTCCCCCATCCGTGGGATTTTCCAGGCAAGAATACTGGAGTGGGGTGCCATTGCCTTCTCCGATATATATATCTACTGCCCCAATAATGCTCATCTATTAATTTTCAAGCACACCCCTTCCTTAAGAAGGTAGGGAGAAAGTAATTAGTACTTGAGTCCATTTTTTATGGGGGGCAGGGGCGCACAAGTCGACTTGTGGGATCTTAGTTCCCTGACCAGGGACTGAACCCAGGCCACAGCAGTGACTGCGCTGAGTCCTAACCAGTGGACCACCAGGGGTCCTTTTAAAGAGAATAAAAGGAAATCTCTTACATAATGAGAATTACTATAGGGCTACCCCACTTTAAATGATGCAGCTCCCCAAAAATTTGTTTATGATCTTATCCATTCAAAAATCCCTGATCTTCATTTTGAATAGTTCTGAATTGGGACAGTTATATTTAATCCTGAAGTTTCACACCCTGTTGTTCTACAGTCACATAATTATCTGTAAACACACACACACCCCAGCACAGTTCCTATTAAGAACTCTTAAGGTGAATGCTTTAGGAAATAAGATTCATTTCCCAATTTACCTGCTCTGCAAGTTCCCAGGGTTCTGTCTGCATGGAATGTACCTACTTTCCTATGTTCCCAGCTCCAGCCCTCCCTGGGGCATAGGTGAGCTATCCCAACCACCAGCCACAGTTCTCCCAGCACACCTTCTTGATATAGGCAGCAATGTCCTTCTCTATGTTGTACTTCTCCATAGCCTGTGTGGCACAGTCAACAGCATCTTGCTGCATGTCCTCAGACATGTCTGCATTCTTGATCACTGCCTTCCGGTCAGACATGGTGACACTGCAGAAGAAGCAGAGAGGTGAGGCTGCAACCCTGTGCTCCCGGCAATGAACAGGAACAGCTGGGTGTGGGGCCTCAGCGGGAGAAAGCATCACAAAAGGTAAGGGCAACAGAAAATACAGACACGAAGCATTGTAAGAGGGAGATCCTAAGATTTTAGCAGAGATGACGCTGCCAAGTCTGGGAAACACAAGGCAAATAGTTAAAAAGATGTAAGCCGTCAGTTTTTGTATGTAAAATGAGGCTTTTCCAACTCTAAATTTATCTATTTCTAGTATTCTGAACATCATCAACAGCCAAAATACTAAAATATACGAGCTCCCAGCTATATCCTTGGGCAAGTTACTTAACCTTTGTGCTCTGTTTATCATCTTAAAATGGGGACTTGAGTTAACCTGAGGGTAAACCAGGTGGTATTAACACCTGAACATAATAAGCCCTTGATTTAATGACCATTATTATATCATTGGCATCACAGTAGGAAGATGAATTAGGTCTGGTCCTTGAACAAGTCACTCAGCCTTTCTGCATTTGATTACTTCCATTTTAGCAATGAGGATAGCTCTCTATCATGAGTTGTTATAAAGAATTAAAATGAGGTTATATGAGAACACTGTGAACAAGGGCAGTCTACACAGTGGTCTGTCCCATTAACCAGATTCAGCCCACCACCTGCTTTTTTAAATAGCTTTATAGAAACACCCTACAACGGCAGAACAATGGCAGGGTTGAGCAGTTGCAAGAGATGATATGGCTTGTAATGCCTAAAATATTTACTATCTAGCCCTTCACATAAGACGACTGCTAAGTCCTAGGCTACCAATGCCCAATGGTGACAGAGACAACAAAACGTAAAGAATTACTATTTTAACTGCACTGCTTGATAACCCTGTCATCTAAGCCACTGCATTCACCCTATAGCAATCAAAGTTCCAGGGCAGACCTTGCATAGTCCCTCCCTAGGATAACAAGAATTCCAAGTGGGCTGCCCAGGGCCTGCCTAGCAGTCTATGGCATGTGAAGTGCTTTGCAGGAACAGAGATGAGCTGCAAAATCCTGTCCTCTGTCCTTGACCACAGTCCCTGCAGCAAAAATCTATATCCCCCCTCCCAGGTACTATTCCCCTAAGCACCACTCTGCGATCAGCCCAGTGGGCAAAAGATGCTGCTGTTTCAGCCCTGTCTGATACAAAGCTACACCTGTCTGCTCAAGGAGAGATCCCTGGTATATCATTCCAGGCCACCTTGATCTGAGTCCACACTAACCTGTGGGTTGGATGGGTGGAAAGGGAAGCAGAATTCATGACTACTTCAGCCTGCACCAGATGCAAAGGATGCACACATACCAGCTGCTAACCAGGCAGCCCTTTAGTGCATCCAAAGTACCACCTTTGTCTCGCACTGTCAAAATAAGCAGGGCTGGTTCTACTTCAGCAAGAAGTGGCAGAGAAATGGCTTAGTGCCCCAGCGCCCTCTGCTCCCACACTTCTGAGAGAAATAGTCAAGAGCCTCAAGAGGAGTCTGTGAGTACCACCTGGGGCTGAAGAAGAGGTCAGGAGAACCCAGTTCAAGGCCTACCTATTATGACCTGAGGCAAATCAGCATCTTTTTTTAAAAAACAATGGTTGAAATAAATGCAGCACCTTCAATGGGTGTGAGCAAAGGTACAACAGCAACACAGAGAATATTCTAAGGCTCACTAAGAGTGGGGAAAACTAGTGTCACCTGGTGGCCTATCCCAGGTTACCACTCAGAAGGGAGCACTGTTCACAAGCCCAAGGGTGGGAGTGCGGCCCGGTTACAGTATGAAATCAGCATCCCTTTTCCCAGCAAGCTAACCTGCTCCACTGCCTCATCCTCAAAAGTCCAAAGGAACAACTTTGTCACAGTGATTAAAAGCTACCTTACCCTCCAGGAGAGCCTGCAGTTACATAATGTTGGTCTTGTGACTACAATGCCACGATTCTTCACCCCTGGCCCCCCAGGCGTCAGAGAGGTGGCCTAGCCCCAGCCTCCCCTGTCCAAGGTGCCAGGGAGAAAAAGGGAAGGGAGGGGCCAACGTAGCCCTTCCCCCCGGGAGAGGGGAGGGGGGAGAAGCTAGAGACCTGGGCCTCCAGACTGAAGGATGACCAGAGGGCCCCAGGCCAGCTGCCTCAGTCACGAGCCAGGGGCTCCTCTAAAAAGCAAAGAGGGCACTCCAGGACAGCTCCCCCTCCTCTATTCCCGGCCTTGCGACAAAAAGGCCAAGCTTTCGAACGACACGACCCGCCCTCCCCAGCCCCCAACACGCACAACGCTTGTATTTCCTCCCTTCGGAACCCCAAGGGGCCGTCTCCCTCCACTACCCCATCCTCCAGAGGGCTGCAGTCCCGAAGGCCGGCACCTGGGCGATGAGAAAGCATCCTCCCCGCCACCTCCACCCGGCCGGCCGGCCGCCCTCCCCCGCCCGGCCTGGAGCAGCGCCGGAGTGACGGGGCGTCCTCGCTGCAGGAAGGACGCCCCAGAGGGTGGCGGCGGGAGGAGCCGCGTCACGCCCGAGCCCGCTCCGCCGCTCTCCCTCGGCCCCGACACCATGGCCTCCGTGCGCACAGGAAGATCCCGGGGGGCTGGAGGCCTCACAGCTGCAGCCGGGGGCCCCGGCCGCGCCCCGAGGTCCGAGGGTACAGGGTGGCGCAACCCTTGGCCAGAGAGGCGCCGGGGGCGTCACGCCGAAGCCGGACCTGCTCCGGGCCTCGAGGCCGAACCTAGCGCGTCGGGCCACCGCCCCGGGGCGCCCCCATCCACCGCTCACCTTCACAGAGGCGAGTTCTCGCGGGGCCCCGGGGGAGCAGCGATGGCCTGAGGCAGAGCGCGGGCAGGGCGGTGTCCCTTCGGCTCCTCCGGCAGCAGCCGCCGCCGCCGCCGCGGTCTCCGGCTCCCGCAGGCCCGGGCCGAGCGCTCGCGCCGCCGCCGTCCGCCCTAGAGCTTTCCCGGCCGCCCGCGCTCCACCTCGCGCTCGCCGATCCGCCTGCTCCGCGCTGGCGCCTCACAGCTCCGCTCCGCTCTGCCGCTGCTCTGCCGACGCGCGGTCCCCACTGAAATAGCGCCCCGCCCCCGCCCCCCCGCCGCGCGCGCCGCCGTCCGCGCTCCCCATTGGCTGGGCCCGCCCGGCCCCGCACTGCGGGCTTCTCCCCGCGCCGCTCTCGCCCCACATCTTGTTTCCTCCCACAATGCCTCGGGGCGGAGGGTGGGGGTGGGGAAGGGGAGCGGGAAAGAGTTGGGGGAGGGAGTCGTGGCCTTCAGAAGAGAAAAAAGAAGTATGCAGACCCCTCTACCCAGGGCTGGAGAGGCCAGGCCTAAAAAGGAATAAAGAGGCAAGGTTCAAAGTGAGGGAAAAAGAGGGAGGGGCCGCAAGACCCCAATCCGAAGAAGAATAAAAAGGAAGAGTGGGATGGAAATTTCAAACGCTGGGAGCAGATGGGAAAGGGGTAGAGATCCTAACCTTTGAAAGAGGAAAGGAAGGAGGTGAAGTCATCAGCTCTAAGGAAAACCGGACTCCTTCCCTCCCCCCAAAACTGTGGGAAGGAGAGGACAGCCGGCACCTCGGAGAGGTGAAGCCATAAACAGCCCCAGGGCTCCCCTCCCCGCACTTTCTGGGAAGGCCTCTTCCCTTCTGCTCTTTGTTCCAGAGTCTTAAGGCCCCGAGACCTAAGCTCCCAGCTGGGACTCCAGCTGCTGTTTAGCTTCAAAAGCGACGGAGGCAGACCCTACGCACAATTGTGAGAGGGGAGGTTTGTCCTCGATACACACAGGCCCATGGAAGAGAGATGAAAGTAAGCCATTTTTGGTCAGTCCGCCCTAACCGTCTGGTTAGACGGGACCGAAGGGAGAATGAATAGAACCTTCTAGAGGTACAAACCAAAGTACGTCAGGACTGCCAGGACTCTTAAAATTCACCCCATCCATATTCCTCATCTTATAAACAAGGAACAGAGACGGGGGAGCCCTTGGCATACCACCATGTTTTAGGCCCGGACCTGGCCTCTAGGCTGAAAAGTGATGCTTGTAGGCAGCAGTCCCCCTGGTGTTTGTGGGTGGGTGTGTAAAACACCTGTGCACACTGGGAGAGTGTGTGCCCTCCAGGCCACCCCGCCCACCGCCAAAGGAGAGAGAGAAACAGCTGCTCTTTTCCGGTCCACCTGCCTCACAAAGGAAGTATCTACTGTAAGGGTTGGTGAGGGTCTTTTGTTCTTGTTGTTATTTAGGCAGTAAGTGCTTTCTGACTCTTGTGACCCCATGGACTGTAGCCAGTCAGGCTCCTCTGTCCGTGGGATTTCCCAGGCAAGAATATTGCAGTGAGTGGCCATTTCCTTCAGGGGATCTTCCTGACCCAGGGATTGAACCGAGTCGCCTACATTGTCAGGCGGATTCTTTACCACTGAGCTATCAGGGAAAACAGAGAGTCTTTATTGGGAGCCAAGCATTTGGCCCACACAGTGTGATTAAGAAGCTTCCATTCATTCCTGTCAATTTCCCTTCATTGCCCCAAACCATGGTCAGGAAGTTGGACTTTTTCTGGCCCTCTCCTGCTCTTTGGAGCATCATAATTTAGTGTTCATTATGAGTCAGGGGGAACGTGGAAAATCATCCCCTTTCAGTCCCACTTTTGCAACGTGCTCTATCATCTTCAACCTCAATCAGATTTCAAAGAAACAGGCAAGACCTGTAGTAGCCCCTCACACCAAGGGTATTCTGATGTCAGCCTCAGTGTGAATGAATGGAGGGTGGGGCATATATAGTCCGGAGGAAACTACCTCAAAGAAGTTCAGTGACTTGCCCCAAATTACCTAGCTGGTCAGCGGCAGTATTTAACCCCAGGCTGTCTGTTCCCAGTGCCTACACTTTTAGCTTTTCCTAACAGAAAAAAATAAAACTATAAATAAGGCATTGGGTGCCCTATTTAATTATACCAGCATTTCCTAAGCTCATCTGACTCCAAAGACCTTCTTTATGCAGACTTTTTTTATTAACATCTCCAGGAACTATTCCACAGAACACAGTTTTGGAAACTTGTGCTATACTAATTACTACTATTTATGTAAAGTGCTTACTGTTTAGGATAATTACTATACAGCCTAGTAACTATTGTAATTAATGTATCTGCTTAACTTGGTGGACATTTCTATTTGATACTACTACAGGTTCATGATTGACCAGTTTTCGGTTGCGCGGATAGCAGAGCCATGTCTTCAGATTTAAAGATCATCTGGGACTTACGTTTTTGTCATATCTTGTGAGCCCCTTACCCACTGGCTACTTCTTTAACTTAAGGATTCCCCGGGGGACTGTGGTCAACTTAAGTAGTTTACACCATGGTCTAAGTCTTGATGGGCTCACTAAATTCCAGACCTCCTCTGTGGGTGCCCCACAGGCTCTTTGGACTCTGCATACACATATATCCTGCCTGGTCATTAAGAGCATTGGCCCTGGAGCCAGAATGCCTGGATTTTAAACTCTTCCCACCACGCAACCAGCTGTGCAGATCTGGCCAACCCATTTAACATCTCAAAGTTTCATTTTCCTCATCTATAAATCAAGAATAATAATGCGTACTTTATAAAGTTATGAGAAGATGCATGAAAAACTCTTGGCACAATGCCTGGTCCATATAAGTATTTAATAAATGTTAGCCATCATCAACATCTCTCTTACAGACTTATTTTCCTTTCCTGTGTTTCTTCCCTCAGTTCCTGGCCCCATCAACCACCTCAGAAACCCACAAGCCCGCCTGATTTCCCTACCACATTTCTATCTCCATCGTCACTCACCTCCTGGCCATTTCTCCAGTCCATGTCCCTTTCATTAGGAGTGCCTCATTCTCATTGTGTACACCCTGCAACTGGCACTCATCATCACTTTCAGTAGGTTCCCTGCCCCCCCGTTCTTGACTCTTGCTCCCCAAATCCACATGGCAGTGGCAGTGACCTATCTAAAATGTGAATCTCCCAGGCACTTTCCTCTTCCCTGCTCAGAAAAAAAGACCCTGTTCTTTCCCATAACTTACTTCCCCTCCTCTCCCTCCGTTCCCCACCCCCAACAAATGAACTCCAGCCTCTCTGCCCTATCTCCCTCTTCATGCTGGAGTAACAGAGTAAGCTGTTACCTGTGGCTTCCCCTACACCCAGATTCCACAACTTTGTTCATGTGGTTCTCTTGCCTGTGAGGCTTGTGGCTTTCTTTCCTGGCTCTTTGCCCCTAGGAAGACTTCCCTGAATCCCTGGTGGGAAGCATGCCCCTACCCTGTTTCAGTAACATCCAGGGCTTATCACCAACCCCATTTAATTAAACTGGTCTGTCTTATGTTTGTAGTTCCTTGCACACAGTGATCACTTCTTGTTTATGTGTGGGCTGCAGAACCTGACACAGTTCTTAGAACACGGGAAATTCTCTGTATAGGTATTAGTTAAACTGATCATGCGCATTAATGACTGAAAAATACAGCTTGGAAGGGCACATTTCATCTCTTCTCTGCTCAAAGAACTGGGTCTTACTGCCCAGTGCAAGTTGCGAGCTAAGGTAAGTCATTGTCAGCCCTGGGGAAACTTCAAGCCTGATTTCTGAATTGATTTCCTTCTCACATTCTCTGGGTATTTGCCTGATATCCTTACACTGTAAGGTAAAGACCATCAAGGCTCTTTCACTTCAGCTGACAGGGTCGCCTATAGGGAAGAGACCATGGCAGTGACAGAGATCATTTCACCAAGCCCTTTTGCTATTGACTTGTTTCAAGGACACCAGGAGGATGGAGAAGAAGGGTGGGAACAAAAACACATATCATATTGCCGTGCAAACTCTGGTCCCAGTTCCTTCTGCCAAGTCCCCACTGGGAAAACTTAAGGAAAACAGTCCAACTAGAACTACTGGAATTTGCTGATTTTTTGGGTGGCCTTGCAAGACATACTTCCCTAGGCAACCATTTACTAAGTCCCAAATATTGCCCCTCCTCCTCCCCAGTCCCTTGAAACTTAGAGGAGCCAGCCAAGGTCAACCACATGGCTGGAAACTGAAGAGATGAGCACTGGACTGGGAGTCAAAGATGAAGTCTGAAACCCAACTTGGCTCTAGTCAGGTCATTTCTGTAAGGTCCCTGTCAGCCCCAAAGTCTGATTCTCTTGTTTCAATGCTCTATCCCAAGGGGCATCTTCCCTGTGGATGGAAGAAATTTCTCAGGCTAAGAGCCTCTCCCTCAGGTTAAGTTTAAATGCTTCTTTCCTGTTCTTTGTCTATCCATTGTAGTCTGAATTCAAAGAGCATTTCGCTACACTCACACCACCCACCAAAGGTGGGATATGATTTTGTTTGCCTTTTATTCCCTCAACTAACAAAGCAACTTAATATAGCTAAGAGTCAATTAATGTTTAGAGCTTCAATTAAAATATTAAAGCAAACGGTCACCAAGAAGGAACCAAGAAAAAGATGCTCCAATGGAAGTAGTGGTTTCCTTATGATTTAGGAAACCACTAAATCATAAGGAAACCACCAATTTTTCCTTCATTGTCTGGACAGTCCCAAGGAATCCTGCCCCTGCTGTGGAAGAACCAAGACAATGGTACAGATTGTGTCAGCTATTGAATACCCAAAAGGCCAAGTTAGGATTCTTGGGCGCAAGAAATACCTGAAGAAAAAAAGCAGGACCCGAATACCTCCTCTGACTCCAGGGACCTGCAACCATGGAACTGTCTCCTCAGGGCAGACCAGTTGTGACAAATCTCCAGGTTTTTCTTTGAGTCATCCCACTCCTGATCCAAATTCCCGAAGAATGGCATCTGATTGGGCAGACTGAATCGTAAGTCCACCTTTTGACCATGGACATAAACAGCAGCCTAACAGACCTTCTGAGATGGATGGGGTTATAGATGAGAGGAAAATCTACATGCATTTACAAGAGGCAAGAGAGTGGGTACTGGGTGAGCAGAAACCACAGAGAGCCTCAAGAGTGTGAGCTAGAGAGGACTTCTCTGGTGGTCCAGTGGTTAAGAACCTGTCTTTCAAGGCAGGGGACACCAGTTTGA